CTTGTGCTCTGAAGCTCTTGTCAATCTTTAATAGAACTGTGCTGTTACCTTTTTAAATGTTAAAAGAATTTTAACACTGTCAACTGTAGTTTGTGCAGATGTATGTCAGAGAAAATGTATAGTATGTGTCAAAATATATTCTTGTTGCTGTTGCTACTAATGCTTGGCTCTCTAATTTTCTGTTCATCAGGGAGTTTACTAAGATTTAAAATATAAGTTAAGAACTGTGGAAAACATATGTTAGATTGTTGCTTTGGGATAATGAGTGATGTTTCTTAACAATTTATGGTTTCCTGTTAAAACACAGCAGTAACAGGTAAGTTAATATCCTACCAAAACAGAAGAGGAGAGAGAGAGAGAGATGGAGAGAAAGAGAAGGAGGAAAGGAAAGGATGGAGAGGATTCAGAGTCTAGCTTGTGTAATTACACTCAATTCAGCCTACAGGTGATTCATCCATGCTTCTGAGCAGTTTATATCAAATAGTCCAGAATAGTGAGAGTGTACTCTTAAGTCTTGGAACAAGACTGTCTCTGGGTTGATCTCCCTCTTCTGTTGCAGTAATTGTTACAGTGACATGTGATGTCCTATGGACCGGTTGTCAGTGTGGTGATGGGGAGTGATGGTCAGTGTACATGTCATTCACTGTGAAGGTCCAGAGGGTCCTCTGATCTCTTCCTGACTTCTGACCTTGCACTCTTGTCTATTCCCGCCTGCAGAGGCGACAGGAAGAAGGGTATTACAGCCGCCTGGAAGCTGAGAGGCGCAGACAGCACGAGGAGGCGGCGCGCAGGTTGCTGGAGCCCGAGGAGCCCGGGCTGTGCCGACCTCCACTTCCACGGGACTACGAGCCCCCGTCCCCGTCCCCTGCGCCCAGCGCCCCTCCTCCCCCACCTCAGCGAAACACCTCCTACCTCAAAACGCAGGTCCTCTCCCCAGATTCGCTGTTCACTGCCAAGTTTGTTGCATACAATGAGGAGGAGGAGGAGGAGGAGGAGGACTGCGGCCCAGCAGGTCAGGATAAGTACTCCAGCATGAGGAAGTCTCATGGGGACCTTCCTCCTGCCACTCTCAGGCCACAGCAGATCCCCTGCCAACCACGCCCAGCCTCCGATGGCATCTTTCTCTCCAACTCATTCCAGCCACCCTCGGCCACAGCCAACAGTACTGCTCCCATCCACAGGGCAGGCCAGCCCCCCTCCCCTCCAAACAAACCACGCTTCTGCCCTCGCGGCCACTATAAAGGTAGAGGTCAAACGGAACGGCAAGTCAAGCTCTCCTTTCATGACAATTGGAGCCGGATCTCTGCATACTGGCCACTTGGCGCAGTCTGTGGAGATCGGGCCTGCCTTGGCATTTGGGTTTCACTTGATCACTCTCAGCATGGTGATCTCCCTCTGCCTCCCCTTGTGATGTCTGTGCTAATGCTCTAATGATGAGTGTCCGAGTGCTCCGATTGATTTCCTTATACTTGAAGAAATTCCGTGTCTTTGATTTGCTGACAACAATCAGTCCTCCTCTGTCATCCCTGAGTCACTTGAAGTACTGTTGGTCTTGGCTTTCATTCTCTGCCTTTTCACGTAATTCCAACCTTTGGTCAAAACAAGGGCCTTTTCGCACATCAGTGCCTTTAAGTTTCCATTGTTTAATGTGAGTAGAACTTTGGGTTCTGCATCCAGTGACCTCTGTGGTGAATCATGTCCTTCATGGTGGCATGGTTGGGTGGTGGAGCGTCTGCTGAGCTGGTTAGCAGCAAGGCTTTGTGGGCTATGCAGGCTGCCAGGTGCCAGAGGCCAGAGGCCCTGGTGATCCGAACTTCCTCTGCTCCCCCTGCCCTTACTCGCTCCATTCCTGTTTCTACCTTGCTGTCTTGAAGCTCCACCAGCCCGCTTTGGTAGGCTTGCAGCTGCTATGAGCTCCCAGCTTATTGCTGAGCACAAGGCCCTCCTGTTGCCTTCAGGGCACAGAGGCTGAACATAGCCCACGGGATTCAGTAGGCAGGCTGTGGGTGCACTGGATGTTGTGTTTAAGATGTGGCTAAATTATACTCAGTTAACATCACTGGCACCAAACATCCTCAGATACAGTAGTGAGGTTTTAATCAGTGCATGTGTCTTCTAGATTCTCTGATTCTGCTTAAACATGAGACCTGGCAGCTCTGACAGCAGTGAATTTTCTAGGACTCTAGAAGTCAGGGTAGCCTGACTCTTCTGTTCATACAACAAATGAGTTTGTCAGAATCTTTTTTCCCACCTGAATCAGAGCTATAATCCACTTTGAAGGCTTGATGTATTAACATTATTTACATTGAGTCACTCTGAAAGCCAAAATTAAATCTTTTTACAAAATTTTTATGGTGTGTTGAGAATTTGCTGCCTTGAATGGTAATAAATTTTGAAGCAAGGTGCTATAATTTTGCATCAGATTTTATAAGCTGAGCTGTGCATATTTTATAAGTGTCATGACACATTTGTAACAGACTATTGCAGTTATGGATCACTTCTAACCATCGTGGCTCAGTCACACCACTGACCTTTGCTTTGTCTCAAACCTGAAGTACCACTCAGGAGCAGGTTTTAGTCTGTGTGATGGAGCCCTCGTGAAGCACACAGCTGTCTGCGCCATGTACAGCTCATGTTGCCCTTGTCCTTGCTTCATTTCACTCATATGCCACACTCTGTGTGCAGCCTTCCTCTTCTGAGCTCTCTGGCAAAGCATGCGTGTGCAGACGGATTTGACCTCTTCCACAGGCAGTGTGAGGAACAGGATTCCCATGGAGATCAGAACAAGCCACACTGGATTTCAACATAGAGATCTATAGTTTCACAATGCGTTTGTGTTGCCAGTGCTCTTTGGAAATAATTTGTAATTGGCAATGTGTATGTATATATATATGTGTGTATGTATATATATACACATATATATATATGAAGTCAGGTGGAAGTTCCTGGTGTTCTAACAAACTAAGAGCTCTGGAAAGTTTGAAGAGTATGTTTGCCAGTGGAAGAGGGCAGTATCTTTCTCAGCAGATCTCAAAAGATACAACAGTGTTTTAGAAACAGACAAAGGGAAGAAAAAGTGTGGAATTCAGATTGGAAAAAAGAAAAACACAGGCAAATAGTGTAAGGCCTTGTGGATTGCCGCAAGGTGGAGACATGTCTCTGTTGCATCTTTCGAGTCTTTGCTGTGGGACACCCATACTCTGAGACTCGGGGCCCGAGCTTGCGATGTGAGGTGCGGTGTGGAGGCCTCTGTGCTCTGCCCAGATATGTCCAAGGAAGTCTGCACCATAGGCTCTTCATATGGAAGAAAACTTGTCCTCATGCAACTGGTCGAAAGACGAGAGTCTTAATGTAATAATACGGAAATAATTTTGTGGCCTATTTAATCCAGTGTTCAAGGCTGTCAGTGTTTGCTGAATATTTCCAGCATTAGTACTCTAGCCTATATTATAAAAAGAAGGTCCTCAAGTGTGAATTTGTCTTTATTTTTAATGCTACAATTAATAGAAATACATGCACACTGCTGTCATGCAGTGTGATTTTAGTGACGTTATTAGTGCTGTCATTGTCATGTACTTGGATGCATTTAGAACCTTTTGTCTGCATCATCTTTTTACATCTTCAACAACCCCATCCCCACTCACCCCACAAAAATGTTTCTGGGCAAATGCTACTGTCCTCTGGTTGATACTGTGCTCAGCATCTGGTGCAGGCGAGGGCCCAAGCAGATTCTCCTTCAAACCTTGCTGCTTGCAGCCTTACTTTATTTTGCCAGGGATTTCACATCTGCAGCATTAGTGTGGAACACTAAAGTTTTTTTTGGTTGTTTGTATAAAAAGCTTTATTTTGGTTTTAGTAAGTATAGCCACTTACCTTGAAAAAGAAATTTTCGTAGTTATTCTGAAGAGAGGAACTTCAGTCGTGTGCTTACTTCTTAGTCTTTGGGGTTGTGTTTGTCCCAGTTTGTAATGAATTTTCAGTGTCAGGAGTATGATGAGAAGAATGGCTGATCCTTCATTTTAACTAGTCTTCTGAATTCGTGGTAATTGTGCATCTTGGCTTACGTGAGCCTTTTCATACATATCCACTCTAGTAGTTGGGAGCACAGGTCAGTTACTTAACACCTGTTGAGTGTAGGGATTGGATTACTCTGGCCACCAAGATGAAATTTCAAATTGGGGAATCTTTAATATGAAGAGCCTTTTGTTTTCTTGCTTACTCAGTAATTAAAGGTGTCTTTTTTTTCTCGTGGGCACGTGTGTCATGATCATGAGTAAAGTTTTAGAAATAATCAGTTACTTTAACTTGGACTTTTTGTTTTATGGAAAAGGACCGCACTCTTACCTGGGGTCTGCTGGGACAGTCACAGGAGCCCACGATGTTCCTCGGGACCCGAGAGAGAAGCGCACAAGAAGGTACTTAGACGGTCGTGCTGGCAGCTCTCACTGCACTATGGCATTTTTAAACTGTGAAATCTGAAAGACTTCATGATCAGCTCAGATGTTTCCCATTGTACAAAATCTTGTGAGCGTGTAGGCTTTTTAAAGTTTGTGTTACTAAGATAGTTCTAATTTAGACAGTGGTGCAGGACTGCACTTCCTGCCAGACTGCAGCATCTGCAGCCATGCTTGTTGTGCTCTATCACAGAGCCTTGCTCAGCCCCCAAGGCCAGCCAACCCAGTGGTACACAGAAGACAAGTGGGCTTTGTGTCACCACCATCTGGCCTCACCTGGGGCTTCATTAGAAGCATTGAAGTTAAATTAACCAGTACCATTCCAGCACTTAATATTAAGTTAGATCTACTTGTAGCTGCCTCTGGATACACATACGGGTCATCCACATGCTCTGTGTTTTAAAACTGGACCTTCAGTGAAACTCGTTTACCCATGCAGATACCTGCTTGCTGGTGTTCTGCTTAATAGTTTGTCTGAGACTCAGCTATGACCTGAAAAATTACCACTTTAGGAAGGAGAGCAATTTGCCCATTTTTCTACATGGATTTATTTATTTCGGTTGTTTTTTTTTTTTTTTTTTTTTTTTGAGAAAGGATCTGACTAGGTAGTCCAGGCTGGCCTCAAGCTTGTGATCCTTCTGCCTCACCCTCCCAAGTGCTGGGATTGTAGGTGTGTACCACCACACCTGGCTCCTACATGGATTTAAATGCAGCCTCCATGAGTTTAATTTTAGAAATTGTGAGCATATAGGCTTTTTTAAAGTTTGTGTTGCTGACATAGTTCTGTTTCAGACAGCCCCGGTCAGTATAATTATATCAGCATTCAACAGCGAATGGGTTTCACTGAAATTAATTGACCATTATGCAGATTTACCAAGTTATGGGCATGTGACCTGCATTTTGATGGGTAATCTTTTATATTTTCCTCTTGCCCAGCCAAGATGCAGATGTACCTGGAAGTACCGGAGCCCCTGAAAACCTGACATTCAAAGAGCGCCAGCGCCTCTTTTCACAAGGTCAAGATGTGTCTGACAAAGTAAAAGCTTCCCGTAAATTAACAGAACTTGAGAATGAACTGAACACCAAGTGAGAGGAGGAGAGACTCGTATTCACCCGAGTCTGCCCAGCCATGGGCTTGCAGTGTGAGCCTGAAGAGAAAGGAGGAGGTTCTGTTTGGAAATGATTACTGATTTCTGCTTCTAAAATGGTTGCGATTTAGAGATGTTTTGATTCTAAGAGAAATGTTATCTTACTTTACCAAGAAATGATCATTTGTACAACCTAAGCCCTATCTGATTCTTAGTCATCTGACTTGAGTGTGTGTCTTTTTAGTTTCTTCGTGGAGTCTTGGGCTCAAGGGGCAGAATGAAGGGCAGTAAAGACACTGGTGTGTTTCTTCCCGTCTTCTCCCGTAATCATTCCCAGGAACACAGACCAAGAAATTCTATTTCTGTTCTTTCTAAAAACTTCATTTTGACTACCAGACAATAGCTGAACTGCCCAGACCTCTGTGAGCACTCTAGGGCCATCGCCTGCTTGCAGGAGAGAGACCTGAAGTCTGCTCCTCCTGCCCCTGTGGCCTTCTGCCCCAGGATACCTTCCTGTTTGTGCCCAAGCCACCAGGACAGCAGCCTCCTGGACACAGGATGCCCAGTTCTTAGTTCCTGACAAGTGTGAGCCCTCCTGATCAATTCTGAATGTTTGATTGAATTAAATATTGATTAATATTTGATTTTAAGTTTTCTCAAGGAAAAAATGTTGAGGATTTACTCTTAGGAGATTTTGTTTTTACAAATACCAGATTGTTGTTAATGACTCACTGGTGAAAATTGAAGATGACAGTTAGTTAGAAAGTTAATACTTCAAAATTCAGAGGTAAGAGAGCTCTCTTGCTGAACAGTTCATGTGACAGGGATTTAAAAAAAAAAAAAAAAATCTGAGCTACATGGGACATTCATACCTGACACTCAGAGCGTAACTGTCACTCAGAAATTTTCAGTTTGAAAAAGAAAGATTTATATTGATACACTGTCTATCAGGAAAAGAAGGAATTCAAGTACTACACCACCTGCAGCTTAAATATTGCCAGGATGACGCATATGGAAGTTGAAACTATGTTTCTTTTACAGTATAATAGAGTTATTTAATTTTAATTTGTGAATTGTGAGTTGCCACTGTCGGTCCTCCAGCTGTAGGTGTGTGGCTGACATTGGTGGGGAGACGGACCTCAGTTTGTTTATATGTGTGATGTTAAAAAGGTGAATTACTTTGTGATTTCAAGCACATGTCCTATTTGACAAAGCCCTAAGTGGGTCCAATGATCTTTCTGTACCGTACTGTTCTCTTATATGTCTGGAAAATATGCACACTTTCAAATGGAAGAACAGAGACATCCGCCACCCAAAAACCACTTTTAAAAAGAGTTGTATGATAAGTCATTGAAAGTGTAAGTGTAAATATTTTTTATGTCTATCAGGGTTCTTATTTGAAAGTGTGCCTTTCCCTTTTCCTCTAAGTAAGAGAGTTGAATGGTCCTGAGAGTGACAAAGGATTTGCACCTGCCTGGGGAAGAGTGAGTTCCTCTGGTGTTCTGAGAACACTGTGGCCTGGAGGAGACGCTGATCATTGGGACTCTTCCCACATGGGAACCACACGCGCGCGTGTGCGAACATCGGTAGACCTGGGGAAGTTATCTGTGTGGTTAAACAACCCATGGCCAGGTGGACCCGGCCATCCCTGGACCTCGAGGTCAAGAGTGAGTGTGTGTAAGAGCGCGTTTCATAATGCACATCCGTCACCATGGAAAAACATCCAGAACTGCTGTAGTTTTCCGTTTCTACTGTATTTCAGTTGCAACCTATTTTTAATAAACTTTGTATGTATTTAAGACTATTTGCTATTATTTTCAAAGTGCTGACAAAGTTTATATTTGTAATGGCAGCCTTCCTCTGCCCCATGTCCACCTGCCGCTTGTTCATTAAACAGTGCCAAGTGTCAGTCCCGTGTCAGGCAGTGTTTTCTGTCTGGGGGGAGGTGACTCTTCCAGCTGGTCAGGAGCAAATGCTGTGGCCAGACCAGGCCTGTGCACACTGGACCTGAAGGGCCAGACCCACCCTCACTTCAGTGCCTGTCTCTAGTTGGCCCGTGCTTCATAGCCTGGGAGCAGCAGGATGGGGCACTGTTTTAGAATTTAGAGATTTCAGGGGAGGGAGGGAACGAGGAGCTGCTGGTCAGGATGGAAGAGCTCCGGGTGGACGGGAGGGCCTGCTGCTCAGCAGAACTGGAAAGGGGACTTGTATGAAGGGAGAACCCGAGGAGAATGAGTGCACTCAGTCCTCCCATACAGCTGTGCCTGAAAAGGTACTTTGGATGGAAAGGAAGGAGAATTGGAGCTCGCTTCTCTGCTGTTACGGAAATGATCCTGAGCTGCAGTGGTTCTCTGCTGACCGACTCTGGCTCGCGGTGTGCTCTGCCGCATGGAAGGGTGATGACAAAAGGCGAGGCTTCACACTCAGGATCGGCACATTGAGCAGAACTTGAGTGACTGGCAGATGGACAGGTGTTTTTATTCCAGTGTTTGGCCGCTTATTCGGAGAACTTGCATGACCTGGGAGGGCACGTGTTTGGCTTCAGATTGGGGCTCGCAGGTCAGAGTGACGAGGCTGTGACCAGGTAGATGGGAGCGCGTGCGCTCTCTTCTCGTAGGTGTGTGGTTGGTCACGCAGCTGTCTGACGAGGAGACCAGGGCGCCATGACGGTAAAGAGAAGGAAAGGCCGGGGCCAGGGGCGCCATGGCCGCTGTCGTCCACTTGCCCCCATCACCCACGAGTTGCCCTGCTGGCCGCGCCCCCTGTGGCCACGCCCCTCGCCCACTCTCAGCTCTGCTCGCCACGCCCCCTGTGGCCACGCCCCTCGTCCACTCTCAGCTCTGCTCGCCACGCCCCCTGTGGCCACGCCCCTCACTGCACTCGAGTCCCTGCTCCCCGCGTCCCCGCACTTGCGGCCCTGGCCACGTCCTCCCGTCGCTAGGGACCGAGATGAGGCAAGGAGCCTGGGGCGATGCCAGGGGACTGGCCCTACGGGGCTTCTGGGAGCAGCGGGCACGGCAGCTACAGCATCACGTGCGGGTGAGTACGAGGGGCTCGAGACCTGCCCCGCCCCGGGCCTTGGGGCTTGGGGATTACACTGAACTACGAATGGCACCTCAAGCCCGCTTGGGAACAAGGGCCAACTTGGCTCCCCTCCTCTTATCTGGACTTCCAAAATCCAAGGGGTGGTAGACCGGAAGAGGCCCTCCAACTCCTACCTGAGGTCCTCCTGCCTTCCCACCGGGGATGCCTACAGTGTCAAGTTCTGGGAGTGCCATGGATGATGAACAGCAGTGGGATCCCAGGCAGTTGGACAAGGAAGCACAAAACGTCAGTGTCAAACGTTTGTGACAAAGGCTGCAGCCACTGAGAAACCAGGAGTACACATTGGACTGTTCCAGTGGACAAGAAGTCCACTGTACAGCAGTGGAGGCCAAGGGCTTTGGCGAGACCCCCTCCCTGGGAGACGGTCACATGGGGGGATCAGGGCTTGTGGCACACAGGAAGCCACATAGATGCCAAAAAGATGGCCGGGGCTTGGGATGCAAGGTCAAGCAGGACACTTCAGGACTGTTATCTCCAGGTGGAGGAAATGCTCCTGGAGTGCTCTTAGGAAGGGAGGGAGAACGCGACCCGATCCGTATTTTGAAAGTAACACTGTGGAGAGAGTGATTCAAGGGCAGGAGGAACCTGAAGGCTGCAGAGCAGACCCTTGTGGGAGAGAACCTCCAGGTGGAGCCTAGGGCCCCTTTCTCAGTACCCAACTCAGGGATACCTTACGGAACCAGGACGGGCAGGCCTCACCCCATCTCACCTTCCAAAATGGAACAGGTGAAAGTGGAGACTCCTTTCCTTCACCCAACCAACTGAGATAGCAGGCCAAGAACATTAGGGTGCAGTTGCTCTTCCCTAGCTCAACTAGGCCCAGGCTCATGACAAGAGAGGCCAGCTAAAAGGCCAAAGACACCAGCCCTGATTGGACATCCTAAGAGATGAGGTGGTCCACAAGGGAAGACAGGCCGAACAGTCCTAGAGGAATGGGCTGGCTTTGCAGCCTGAGGGCTCAAAAGCTGGTGTTCTTAAAAGCAATGAATCTGTATGCTATGTCTTCTGGGGCAAAGCACCACAGAGAGCCAGCTCGAACAGCAAGGGCATTTCTCACGGCTTGGGGGGCTACAAGTCTGTCTGGGATCAAGGCATTGATGGGTTTGGCCTCTGAAGTCTCTGTAGCTTTTCACTGTGTCTTCATGTGATCAGCCATCTGAATGTGCACCCCTGGTGTGTCTTTATGTGTCCAAACTTTCTCTTATAAAACCACCAGTCAGATGACAGAAGGACCCACCCTTATGGCCTCCTTTGAACTTAGTCACTTCTGTTAAAGGCCCTGTCTTCAAATGCAGTCACATTTTAAGGCCCTGGGAGTCAGGACTTCAACGTAGCAATGGAGAGAGGGCAGACTGCAGCCTATAGCAAGCCATGCGCTGCACCCTAGTCAGCTCAGGCACTGGAGGGAACCAGGAAGAGAGCTGAGAAGAGCCACCTGGGGTATGAGAAAGCTGCAGAAGACACTTCGAAAACTGTCCCTGCCCCAGGACAGTGGGACCAGACTTCGGGGAAACAGGCTCCAGGTCATTGTCAAAAACAATAGTTCAGTCAATAATCGGGGTCTGATACCACATGAACTCAAGAGAGGACTCAGAAAATGAGGCAGGCAGCAAGCCCTGCTACAGCCCCTCAACGCAGGATAGCTGTGTGCACAGCTGTCCTCCCAGGGGCTGCACCGATGGCTTCATACTGCAGGGAAAACAGCCTTCACTGATGTCCTCCAGCCATGTCTGCAACAGAGCAGGCAGGATGGCAACAGTAAGGACAAGCTGGGGAGCAGAGGTGGTGTCTGGAGTTACCTATTGCAGCTTTCAACAAAAATTTATAAGACGTGATAATACAGGAAAAAGACAACGAACAGCCCATGAGAGGCCCCAGGTGTTGTCAAAGACTTCTGAGCAGCCACTGTAAATATGTCCAAAGAATTAAAGGAGGCTGTGCTTACAGAAGTAAGTGAAACTACAGCCCCACCTCGTCCAATAGAACATGTCAATAAAGCGTGCCGTGGTTTAGTATGGCTCAGTGTATCCCCCACCGTTCATGCTCAGAAGCTTGGTCCCCAGTTTGGTGATATGAAGAGTGGTGGGACCCTTAAGAGGTGGAGCCTAGTCAGGGGTCATCGGAGGCACTGCCCTTGGGAGAGAACTTGAAGATACTTCATTAAAAATTAAACTTTATTAAAAATTATGCAATCTTAAAAACATAAATTAAGTTGAAGCAAAGTGAGCAGAACCTCGGGAGAGGTGAATCGAGGTGCACAGCATATGTGCAATGGAAGAACAAGGAAGGAGAAAGATTAAGGAGCAGCACTGGAGCAGAGCGAGGTCCAGCTTCGTGCTGCCTACAGCAGCCACACTACAGATCCAAGGTAAAAGAATGGAAAGAGAAGCCTCAGCCTCAAGAAAGCCAAGGGACTACAGTAATCTCAAACAAAACAGGCTTTGTACCCAAAGCTGTTATTAGAGATAGTAAGCCACATTGTCTTATGGCTATCTTGTAAATATGGTTGTACTTTACAGTGGGACCCTAAAATTAGTGAAGCAAAAACTGACAGAATCAAAGGGAAAAATGGTCACTTAGCAATGGTTGCAGACTCCAGTACTCCACTTTCAGTAAGGAGAGACCAGCTGGATAGAAGATGAGCGAGTGTGACAATGACAGAAACACACAACCTCACCGACACCTCTGCCCAACAGCAGGACACACGTTTGCTCAAGTGCGCACTGTGCGCCAGGATACAAAGTGTGCCAACCCTAAAACAAGTAAATTTAAAAGGGCAGAAGGCACACAGAGTATGTTCTCTGATCACAGTGGAGAGAAATTAATAACAAAAAGAACTTTGAGGAACACACAAATACATGGAAACTGAACAAGACAGTCCTAAATAACCAAAGAAAAATCACAAAGGAAATATTAGCGATGAATGAAAACGTTCAAACCTTAGCGTGTTCAGCTCAAGCAGTGGAAAATAATAGCTGTAAAAGCCTGCACTGAAAAGAAGATAGGTCTCAATCAACAATCTAACTTTCCGCCTTAAACAATGAGGCTAGCAGAGCAAATGACCCAAAGTAGAAGGAAAGAAACAGTAAACATCACGGCAGAGAGAAACATCACAGAGCATAATCAACAAACCCAAAAACTGGCTCTTTGGGAAGATCAATAGAATTGGAAATTAGCCCTTAGCTTGGCTGATTAAAGCAAGACTTGAAACAGTAAAATCAAGGGTATAAGAGGTCACTAGCACCATCCTCACAGAAAAATTAAGGATTTTAAGAACATGCTATAAACATCACCAACAATATAGATGACTTGGACAAAATGGCCAAATTTCTATGAAGAAACAGAAAATGTGAAAAGAAATGAAATGAATTTAAGAGATTTAGTCAATCAAAAAACTCCCACAAAGAAAAGTTCAGGACCAGATGGCATCACTGAATTCAGCAGCCATTCAAGGAAGAATTAACTCCAGTCCTTCACAACCCCACCCAGAGGACAGAAGAGGGACTTCTCTCCGTGCTGTGACATCACTATTACCTTGTCCCAAAGCCACACAAAGACATCTCTTATGAACTTAGATGCACCACAGCGAACCAGCAATATAGGGAAAGGGCCATCCACTACAGGTGAGGGCACGCTAGGCTGGTTTAGTGTTCAGGTCACGAATACATGCATAGAAGGCAAAACCTGTGATCATCCTAGTAGGTCCAGAAATAGCATTTGCAAACTTCAGTCCCCTTTCCTTTAAAAGCACTCCACCAACTCGGAATAGAAAGAACTCCCTCAGCTGACAGAGGGCATCTGTGAGAAC